CTTTTGTTTTTTTCTATTTATATTAATTTAATAAACTATTTTCACATAATATAAAATCACTTTTAGCAAATAAGTATATTTGAGGAATACAACCTTAACCGTGATTTTATCATTTATTTGTTAATTATAAAAATAAATTCATTTACTCAAACTCCGATAAATATTACAAAAAAGTGCCCAAACATTATAAAATTAAATGTAAATATCATAAAAAATAAATGATAGTATCAATGATCTCAATAGTTAATTTCTTTAGGAAATAAATATAGTAGGTATTAGGTATTATAAGTAATAATAATATATTCTGTCATAAACATAAGAGTAGTGCAATAATGGTTAAAATAAAAACAATACATTTATGTATAACAATTGAATACATTTAACACTTAATTTGGTTTATAAAATATGAAACAAAATATATAAGTTTTCTTTTACAAATTTGAATTTTTATGTTCTATTCATGCTATCGTTTTATATTTTTGAATTTGAATTTAGTTAAAGCAAAATAAAAATGTATTAATTTAGAAGTAGGTATATCCGTGCATTGATTGCTCTCGTACCGTTGAAAACATAACATTTAACTACGAATGTAGGTGTATGTGTACTCGATAGTCAATACAGCACCGGATATCATAATAAATAATTGTACGATAAGTTTAACGACGTTATTATATTTTCTAACTTTTGATAACAATATCGTCCTGATTCTTTCACCGGAGAAGTTAATAACAAACTTATAAATGTACTATAGAAAAAGGTGGGTAAGTGGATGTCACTCTGCTGTACAGTAGGTTTCAAGTGGGTCGCTGTAATGGATGGTGTTAAATTTGAATTCAAAGATACAATATCATTGTATAAGAAAAACGATTTTGAGCGAAAACGGTCAGTCAGCCTATAATATTACGAAGTAATCTTATTTTAAATTTTCAATCCTTAGGTATAAAAGTTTAACATTTTATACATTTTTAACTACAAAATTATTATTAAATTTTAAATGTGATAATTTTGTGAAAATTTGAACTTTAAATGCTTATAAAAAAATTGTGACTATGGATTTTTAATTTTTTTCATCTGCCTTTGAAACAATATACTAGGACCCTTCTATTAAATTTTCAAGCTTTTTTTAAACAACAATAAAATTTTATTGATATTTATAGAAAAAAGAACTAAAAAGAATGATAACTGAAAATGTCCGTAAACAGCTCAAAATATTTGGAAAATGTTATGTTCTTTAGAAAATGACAATATAAACATTCAGTCAAAATTTCATGTACCTAAGGTCAATTGTTTAAGAGTTGCACCAAAAACCAAAATCGATTTTTTCGAAAACAGATTTTGGGTACAATTTCCCGTTTTTCCTTAATTTTTCTTTTTTTATTTCACGGCGGTTTTAAAAACTACTGGAAAAATTTTACTTTTGATCCTCCCAAAGTACCAACTAGATTCACTTTCCTTTCAGAAAGATACTGTTGAAGAAAATCTAAGCACTTTTACTGTCCTAAAAGGTGATGACAAACACAAAAAAAAATAAAAATAAAAAAACACACATCATTGTAAAATCAATACATTCATCGTTCCACTCAGAATCTAAAATATAAATGATGGAAAATCAGTGGACAAATTCATCAATGGGTGAAAAATGGCTGTAATTTAATTATAACAATATTAACAACTAATTTTAAACTCGACGAATAATTGTGATAAACAATTATTCGGTATCATGCCAAAATTATCTAGTTACATAACTTATATTATGTACTTAGTATAAATTGTACTCTCTCTCGCGGTCAGCATATCACATAGTATGTGTTATTTTCAAAACCATCAACAATTCTTTTAATCCATCACAATGTACAAAATTTGAACATCCGGTCAGATATCCGATTTAATAACTTACAGTCATATAATATGCTTGTTCAATATTTGTATGCATATCATTGCGGACACTCACAAAAAAACATGGTATATAAACAATTTTTAAAAACTTTTGTTTTTAAAAATTAGTAGAGAGGCCTCACGTATTACGTAATCTATTCTATACAATAGTAGATTTATAGATATGTACTCTATATTATAATAGGTAGGTATATATTATTAAATCATTTACTATAATATAATATTAATATTATGTTATAATTATTGTTATTATTATTGATAATATGTTGTACGGGTTTGTCGTGCAAATGTAATAGAACATAATATGTATAGGTGCACCGAAAAACGTGTTGCCTTACCTTTGGCGAGCCGCCTGGCCACGGATTTCGACCTCATTCGGGGGTGATATCGTCGGAGTGTGCCGTCGTGGTCGCGTGGCTTCAACTGGCGTGCCCGCCGTGCACGTTTTCGCCCACAGGGCTTGAATTTCCCTGAAAAACGGTCCCCGCCGGCGCACCTGTGTACGCGCGCGTCCCCTGCACTCCGCAGTTATCAGTCATCGGCCGACGCCGCCACCGCTGCAAATTATACAGCTACCTAGGTATAGGTACGTATACCTATTATAATGCGTTCTACGGGACGTTGTTATTATTATTATGATTGCCATTACTATTACTATTGCCGTTACTACATCGCTACGATACGCATATTGCATAATATTTTGTATCATATATATACGGTAGGTGGCTTTATAATAATATTATATTATACGTCATCATAAAATGACGTATCGAATCGGCGGGACACGTGATTGCATACAGAGCGCATGTGTGTATAACACACGTCGTCGACACTATAACATACCGATGTGTGTACATAACTAATAACTGCGGTATAGTATAAAATTACTAATAACTATAGTATGTGGTAGGTACCATATTCCAGGGATGGACTGGCTCTAGTGGCGACAGGGTCCTTCTATATATCGGAGCAGCGACTGCGACTATTATAAATTGGACCGATAAAATAAAACAGTTTAAAGTACATATAGGTAACGCGTGAATTGTAATCTACATACTGCTGCAGTAGGTGTACATAATATTATTACTGCGGCTTAATACAATATAGTATAGCCAGTAGCTACAATCATTATGATGAAGAAGACGTCACACCATCTGTATAATATTTATCCATATAAATGGTTTTTCACGGGACAAAACTACGAAAACTGTTGTAGTTACTTATAGTAGCCTTCCCAAATGCATACCATACACATATAAGATACTATATGTTGAAAAAAAAAAAATAATAAAAATAAAAATAAACACCATTGTAAAACCAATGCGGATTAGTATTTTTGAATATATAGAATTATTGTACTTTATAAGATTTATACATTGTACCAATGTGTATTAAGTATACCAGCTTCTTGGTACCAATATGTGTGTATGTGTGTATGCGAAGTGTATTGTATTCAGGTATATATATAAAGTGCCATAAGTATAAGTTTACGTTAAGAATCGAAAATCGAATGTGTGTATATATATATATCAACGACAACAAATTCGACAAAAAAACAGAAAAAACGAATCCCGCACAGATTCCGGAGATTGGACCGTAAAACGATTTGGAAACTGTTCGTGTCCCTCGACTTGCTGCAGAGATGAATTATTATCGGCCGTCCCGGGATAACTTTCCGAGCTAACGGGCAAACGATAAACTATCATTTATAGGACTATTACGTTATCCGGATGTCGGAGGAGGTGGTGATTGTGTCGCTGCAGTGCGAGAAGCTGTTTGGGACAATTTTTCCGAAGCATTAAAAACCGACCTCACCCGCGTAAACACTCCTGTATTGTTTCGGGAACGTTAAAAAACAATAACAGCGGTCGTAAAATATAAAAATCCAACGGTGTTCTTGCGATGCCATAAAATAATATTATATACCTTAAACCTATAATATATAATATACGCACGCGGGTATGTGTGTGTGTGTGTGTGTGTGTGTGTGTGTGTGTGTGTGTGGGTGTGTGTGTATGAGCAGTCACTACCACTGTTGGAAATGTGTGTACTATTATGCTGTCTAAACGCGTCGATCTTTCGTGCGGGTTTTAAATTGCTTACTGCTGTGATGATAATATCCGAAGTGGTCGACGCGTAGTTGGCCGTTGGGTGTGTTCACACCGGATCGTCCAGCCGAACGAAATCGCTCACTTTTAAGTTCTCTCCTAGAAAATATTGGAGATAAACGGACGATCACAGATCCCACAACATATAACCTCAAACCGCAGATAAAACGAGTAACTATTTGTATGTGATTACTGCGTAATGCACTTCTAAAAGTGCGAAGACATTGAAATAGCGCATAAAGTCCATATGAGTATATAAGAGAACAGTTAATATGATAAAATCCAATGTTGATATTTTTTTCAATATAATTGAACAAAAATAAAAATTGCATAATAAAAGCAATATACTTAGGGTGTTCAAAAAGTTTAGAAATGGTCATTAGAATAATAAATGATGACTGATTAAACGTGATATGATATAATTAAATATTTCACCAATTAATTATTAAATGTGCAGCAGTGTTATCTTTCATTACTAGAATAATATGTAGGTATAAAAATATGTAAACAGTATTAACGGATTTCCAAATTTGTTAACACCTTGTATAATACGAGTATGTACATTGTACATAATATATATGAGTTATAAGTAATTATAGTAACATAATATATCATGTGTTATAAAATATAGTGTATTTGTGCATACAAATTGAATAGATCTCTTTCTTATACCTACTTAGTTAGAACTTAAAATTTAAATTTAAATTTATCATGGATATATAGGTTACTATTTTGTAATTAATAAAAATAGTTTGTAAAATATCTATAAAACACAACCGTTGCAAATATGTTAATGTTAGATAGCTAAGACAGCCCAGCAGTTGTATAGATTTATAAGCTGTGTAGTCATGACGTCAAAATTCGAGAAAATTAGTTTATATTTGTAAATGTATAGGTATTATATTATATTTTATGACGATTTGATTAAGTAGTTACTTTAATTGTTACTGTCGTATACGCCGTATTCGTATTTGTTTCTCACGGTTTCTCGTAAACATGGCATTACACATCAAATTAGATGCGTTTTTGAATACTGAACCAAAACCGGAATGGTTGAATCAGTTAAGAGTGACTATTGCGGTGGGTAAAAAATTTGAGCAGAAAGGCGACTTCGAAAAAGCCGCAAAATGTTATGAAACCGTCTTATATTACGACCCTGTGGACACTAAAACGCTAATCAAACTCAGCAAATGTTATCAGAAAATGTTACAACCCGAACAAGCGGCAAAACACCAAATCCGCGCAATGCAGAACGATCCCAATTTACTCCAAACCATCGGAAACGAAGCCAGTGTAAACTTTGAATTGGGAAACTTTGAAAGCAGTTTAATGACTTACAGTCAATATTTTAAGCAAAGGAAAACGTCGTTTGACTGTAATCAAGGATTATTGAAAGTAAACAAATCAATATACATTTTAAAATACTAACAATATAATATTATAGTGAAACCTCTAAATACCGGTCACTCTTGGTCTCTGAAATTTTGTTAGTTATTTGGCGGTATCCGCTATACAGACGATTTAGTTTGAAGAAAATTTGTAGCTTATTCCAAAAAAAAAAAAGTCCTGTATTTGCAGGTGTCTAATAGGGTATGTTTCACTGTATTATTATAGCGTTACAACTTACAATGTAACTTATATGTAGGTGCACGTTTATTATTTGAGCATTATTCTGGTGAGCAATAAACATGTTTTTGTCTTTGTTTTAAAATAATTCGAAAGAATCTTAATTAGTACCTATATACTTTACGATTTACCTACTGACATATACAAACATAATTTATATAGGTACATAAATAAACTTTCGATTTTTTTACTCTCAAAAATGAACTATATTAACATAAACTTAAAATTTAAATTGAACATATAATTACTTATGTATAGAAAGACATGGAAAAACAAATTCTTTGGATATTGAAAGTTTGAATTGAATACCTAATTTAGTACAAAGTTATGTGTAGTAATAGCTGGTTATGAATAGGTGTATGGAATGTGACTTAAGAAATAGGAACTATAAAAAAATAATATTCATTTTTCGTAGATCAATGAAGTTATTGACAACTATTTACCTGTAAATGGAATAATGGGTTGTTTAAAAGACGCAATGTTTCAAATGATAGAGAATGAACCATTCATTGACTCAGATGCGTGTGCAAAATTAAATAGTTCTATAAAATTGAATAAAATTGACAAAGCTCACACTGAACGATTCCAAGAAGCATACTATTTACGGAATATAGTACAAAACGTAAGGTTTTATAGAAAACAGCTGAATGTTTTACCCAAATACAATAAAAATGATAAATTAGTTCACGAACAAATCCAAGAAGTCGTTCACACGTTTGAAGCAGCCAAAGTAAATATATACTTATAAGCTTAAGATTGGTAAATTATAAAAGTACTCGGGTACTTTTATAAAAACAACAAATTAATAGTTATACGCTTATACTGTGACGTCATCATCTCTCAAACATACTAACGGTTGTATTTTAGTTACTATATGCTTGTTTTCTCTTCAAATCAAACTAAATAACGGTATAACACAACCATATTTTGGTTGTTGCAAAGTATATGACAACATGTTTTTTTTTTTATACTGCGCATAAAGTTAAAAAAAATATTTGTGGCTTGGCTCGGCGCGTTGGCTGCTACCAGTCACGTCATGCGTCTGAGAGTAAGTAGTTCTGCTACTAGTTCCCGGATGGGTGACCAAAGGGTTTGAAGTTATAATAACCTTGCCACACATACACGTGTTTGATTACCTACCGTCACAATACCTTACCGTACCAACTTTACCAACCACAGTTCATAAAATCCTACAACAGCTAATGGCCATAGTCGCCGTGACTAAGTTCGTTAAAAAATTAAAAAAATTATTTTATGCAGAAAGACTTATACAGTAAAAAGCCATTTTACATGCACGTATGTCAACGACCAAATCGCCAGCTTAATGACCGGCGAAAAATCAAAGATATGGTCAAATTACAAATTTCCAAATACATTCATTCAATAGTTGAACACTGTTTGTCGGGCAAAATCGAATCAGCTCGACGACAAGCTGAACTAGCTATGGAGTACATGTACGAACATCGCTACAGACCATTGAAGGTAGTGAACGCCTTGTACGAAGTGATTGGTTTGGCTCTGTACTTTAAAAATCGAGATATACCCGAATGGTCGGAGGAGATGAATGAAAAGAGGATATTATTCATAATGGGATCGATCTTAGACAAAAAGGACGCTTACAATCACGTTTATCACGAGTCATATTTCGGGCCCGATAACCGAAACAATACGTAAAAATAAAACACATGTCACATACACATACTTTGCACACTATTATATTAAAAACATAATATACCATTATAGTTATACTATTATAGTTTCAACATTATATACGCACAATGCATAAATTAAAGCGAACAAAATTATTATTATACACAGGATTTATTTGAAGAAACTCACCAGACAGTTAAATGGCATAGAATTATCCACTTACAGACTATACCTTCAGTATGAACGGATAAAATGCTACATGCATTTAAACGAATTCAAAGCAACGAGACCATTAACGAAAACAATGTTTCACGACGCTTGTGCTTTGGGTAGTATCGCGTGGAAAGTCAATGCTTTGATGTTGACGATGATCTCCGAGTCTAAATTAGGCAACGGGCTGCAATGTATAAAAACCATAGAGCTTATAATAACGCTTACTAAAACTCTGGGAGACGAGAAGGTCACCGCGTTCATGAGAAAAGTATGATATAAAAATCCATTTTACGTATAACATAATAATATCAACATTTGATCGTTACATAAATCGCGTCTAGAATTTATGTTTGATTTTTTTATATTACCTGTAGTAATACGATACTCGATGGTACTATTATCTAATTTAATATTAACATTACATTTATTTGGTGTGGCTCGGTGGTTGGCCTCAGTCACTGTTCTGATGTCAAGCATCGGACGGCGTTGCTAGTTCCCGGATGGGTGACCACCCAGGTTTTTAGTGACAAATCCTCGCCCCACATACACGTGTTCCTCAACCAACCTCCCCGGGGCTCCCCCCTACAAAATGCTAGTGACCATAGTTTCCAATGCCTAAAATCAATAAACAAAATAAATTACATTCATATTTTAAACTCCGTAATATTAAACAAAAATAATACAAGTATCTCGCGTGCAAAATAGTTAATGATATTTCTAGCTTAAATTTATCATTGCCAAAAAAGTATTTATATAAGTATCTAATAATATCTATTAACTATAAATGGATATTTTTGATTTAGATATACCTTAGTATTATTGTATTCCATCAAGTTGTCCAATTTCAGTAATAATTAATATCGATAGAAATTTAATCTATCATATTATATTCATAAGTGATTTATTATAAAATTCGTGTGGTGATTCATCATGTTATACATCAAATATATTATCATTTTTATAAAAAGCATGGCTTTTAATTTAGTTTCTAAATTTTTTATGATTTTTATTGACATTTTTCTACAATCTATTCAATTTTTTATGTACAATAAGTAGGTTTGATAATTGACAGTAAAAATAGGTAGATATGAATCTTAAGATTAGGGAGGATACCCAGTGGTAACACCCTATAAAAGTTACTAAATTAAAATAATAATATCGGTAGATATTATCGGTGTTTACCTATTATATGCATTTTATATGTATGTAATTTATAATTTTTTTCATTTACAGATAATACATATTTTTAGTGATACTTTCATTCAACGATATTTGTTGTTTTTTTGAATTTCTAGTATTATTATATTTCCAAGAAAAAAATTTGAAAATATTAAAAAAATTATAAAGAATAATTATTATTAACATTTAATTAATTTGTCTAAATCTTTAATATATTACTATATTTAGGTATAAACAAATAACTACTAATATAGCATTAAAAAGTATCAATAATCGTCGCTAATTTGTATGACCTAATTTATGAAATTTTTAACATGATTATAAAATATATAATGTCGTTATTATTTATTTATATTTCTTTTCTACTGCATTAAGGTAATTCTGTTCATTATAATGAAATAATCACACATCCAGAAGCGTTTTTAATAATAAAATAAATGATTCTAGATGTGGACATTATTTGCCACTGGCAAAGTGCGAGTGCCCGAAATGGGCATCGAAGAAGAGCGAAAAGCAGACTTGATAAACATCATGCCGGACTCGGAGAACATTCTCCTCATGGACCGTTTATTAAACCATATTGACAGATTACCCAAGGAATGTCGGATGTCTCTGACATTAGGAGAACCTTCAGAAGTTAACTGCGCAGATCATAGTCCAGACTTTCGGCGGGAACCCTTGATAATCGGTAGCAGGTGGAAATGACACGCGTGGACGATTATAATGAACTAGATCCGTTCACCGCAGAGATCGGATTTATCGATCCAACGATCGTTTGTAATGATTCATTTGTGTTTTTAAACTCACAACCGATTACCGCGGTATTAAACACGCTTGTATATAATATGATAGTAAATATAGTGATGAAATTCCAACATCTATTATTCGCATATATGTATTCGAATAAAATATATCAAGGGGGGGGGACTATATATTTTAAGGCGGTACCGCATAGACATCGTCTGTCGTGTACTGTGTCCAAAAGTTTAGCTCAAACCTACTCTGGAAATTTCCCGATTTTCAAATTTACTCGCCTTTACACGTCGACCAGCATTCAACCTTGCGGGCCATGTTTCTGTGACGATGCCACCTTGCTTGTTAATAATATTGAGAAATTACCGAGACAATATTATAATTATAATATGAACGATGCATAATAATATTATAATATTATATAGATATAATCAATGGTACAATTTAGTATTTACTACATGATAACATGACAAGAAAACACCGATGGTTCGTCAACTGTTGCAGTCTTCTGGAGTCTGGGGTATAGTATATAATATCTGCAAACGTCGCCAAAAACGTTAAAAAAAAAAACAAACTCATTCCACCGCTTGACATCTCGTGTCGGTTGAGCCGCATAAATCTTATAAATATTAATATCGTATATACGCTATAGTATTATAGTAGTGTGACTATTATACTCGTGTGCAATATAATATATAGGTATATAACGTGTATAATGTGAAAACGAGTGACGCGACAGACGTGGCGGTGACGGCGGCCTGCACACGTTGATGCGTAATATGCGCTTCACGGTTATCGGATGGCTCGCACGTATAATTGTGGTGGCGTTTTAAATACGCGTGAAACGCGTTGTCGCACACATCCGCCCGACAGGACCCACCGCGACCATCGCCGCCGCGGAGAATATATACTACCTATAACATTAAAAGCGACACTAATATTATATATTATATAAGTATTCGACGTACGTGTGTATAGCTGGTGGTAGTTGGTATAATATAATGTACAGGGTGCGTCTATACAACCACGTTATTCCCTCGTGCAACTGTCCCACCCGCTTAAATACTTTGAACTCACACTCGGTGTGGTCGGTGGTGCACACAGAGGGCAGTGGATTTACTCCAATTTAGGTATAGATATAGACATATAGTACATATATGGGCGCCGGCTGACACCCCTTTGAAGTGAGGGATATAGAGTTGGCGGCAAAGATGATCTATACTAGGTGGACGCTTACATAGCATAATATAGCCATATAGGTTAGCTAACCTATACGTATATAATATGGATGAGGGATGTATTTTTATATTGCTTATTTTGATAATATATAGGTTGGTTAAAAATGTGGTCCATGAATAATGAGCGTTCATTTGCCAAACGATTATTACTCATATTTAGAAAAAAAATCCGTAAGCTTGCATCTTTATCTAGATAACCATCCATCTCTAGTTGGTCACTTTAAAATGCAAAAATGTAATATTTAAATTTGTGTCTTACTAATAATCGTATATGAGTAAACAATATTATTACTGTCGTCTGTCGACACCCTGTATAAAATAATATCACGTCGGCTTGTTTATGTACATATAATAGGCACTATAATACTACGTTTATAGATATATATTATACTAATATTATATAATAATAATAATAATATGTACATATTTATAATATGAACCTGTTGTGGTGCGCGAGCTGCTGCAACATGCACTGCGCTCTCGTCGCACGCACGCACCGCACGTCCGATACATCCGCCACGATAATTAAATAAAAAATCGTAAATCGTGGAAGACAAAACGAGCGGCGACGGCGGCGGAATATTGTTGTACGAGACGAAACGTCGTCTGTTGTAATCGCATTATTATTATTCCTGGGCACACGGCGCGCGCGGTGCCGTAACCCTGCGTGGCCTTTCGGGGAAACCGAACAATGCGCGCCGGGCGCGGGCCTGTCGACAGGTCTCAGACCGCGTGTAAAATCGTTTGTGCCCGCGAAGAGACCGTGAAGAAACCGCGCGCGTGAGAATAATAATATTATATAGTGCGTCGTCGGGACCAGAGGTACATAATACCCACCTATGGGTGGTGTTAGCCGGTGGTAGACGTCACTCTGAGCAAACGCATGATGTGTATGATATTTGAAGCGACGGAAAAAAAATGTACCGTTTTATACTTAACGGCGGCACCAAGCCCACACATCTTGCACGCGAGCTTTACACCGATGATTTACCTTCGAGCCAGAATGTATCTATGCGTTGGTCGCTGTCGTCATTTCGCGGGTTCATATATTATAATATTATGTAGTTACCTGTACCTATACCGACTTTGTCTAGATTTTGGTGTGCATAACGCTAAATCTACATACCCACATACTATGTCGTGCCCGATTATCAACGGTGATTCGGTATTTGACTAAAATAATTATCAGTGGTATATCTAGATTTTTTTTGAAGGCGTGAGAGCGGGATTTCAAAAAACTGCATACCTAGCGTATACTAGTTTAATCTAGGTTGCCTATAAAATATGGATACAAATACTTTAATTTATATAAGTATAGGAGTGTAAAATGAATATAACATAATATATACAATAAAATATAACTAAAATACAAAATGGTATTATAAAGAATACTTAACAGGATCGTGGGATGTATGAGCAACCGTAACAGAATATTATATAACAATATATTTACCGACGTGGTTTGCGAAAGTGCGCTCAAGGGGTGGGATAGTTAGGGCGTGGGCGGTCGCCGCAATATCGTCGGAGTTTATCTGTCTGCGAATCCTCTGCCAGAGCGTCCTCGGCCGTGGGCGCTTGCGCCGTCCCGCCTCGCGCCGGACCGCGACGACTACGAAATATAAGAGACAAAGTAATATAACA